GTTTTGGAGACATACAGTTTCATGAGTTCAATTTCAAATGCAATTGTAATCAACTCAACCCGACAAGTAAACTTATAATTTAAGATAGAATACAATGCTAGAGTAAAAACCGTTAAGCCATAAATAAATATTCTTAACTTAATTATTTGAAGTCCGATCCCAGCAACCTTTATACGAAACTGAAGCTAAGAAGAAAATCTAAGTGATCGGAAAAAAATCACGATTTTTTGACACATATTGCATCGGGAAACAAATTTAAATTCAAGCCACTAATGCACACTCAACATAATCTTGCATCGCAATATTCCAAACTTTATTCATAACCATAATAACATAATCTAAAAGAAAGAAAACATGTTCGGCTTCAAGCCAACATCGAAAAATACATGTCCAATTTCAATATAAGTTGGCCAAAAATTAAAGTCTTTTTTTTCCAAAAACAAAAACAAAAACAAATTTAAGAGTCTTGATAATCTAAACACTCAGAATAAGAAAGTCTAACATAGAAACAAAAAAATAAAAACCATACATCCTCGTTTACTTGAAAATTGAACGAATTTCTTGGTAACACATTACTCTGAGTTCCATCTTCTTCAAATAAAAATCAATCTCCTCCTTGTTGAATTGTTGCAATTTCTCTTCAATTTCCTGCGCTTTTGCTTCACCAATCAAGTGAATGTTGTTTTTGAAAAAAACGGAAAACCCCAAATCGTCATCCATAAATTTATATAATAATGGGAAAGTAGATTCAAAATCTTGTTTACCATCGACAAATGCCTCTTGTCGTGTTTCGTTTACCTTGTTATTCTCCTTGTGGTTATCAACTCTCTGTTTTTTCTTCTTACGGGTAATGATAATCTCATCATGCTCCCATAGCTTATTGGACAACTCAAAAACAGTCGCTTTGTGACTGTTTGGTGCAAAATTACGGAAACTACCCTTCTCCCTAGCATTTCCGTATTTTTCCTGCAACCCGCGTACCTTTTCAGATAGTTGAGTTCTCTTCAAGTGGGGAAGACGATCTTCCATGAATTTGTGAAAGTCTGCCCAACTTGTGTTTTTACCATTGACCCAAAAGTCAGAAAGACCGTTGAGAACAACGATCTCTTCTTCGTCCGAAAAAACATTTCGTTTCACCAAAGCTGACGACGGCATTCCTTCTTTCCCTACCAAAGCTGACGACGGCATTCCTTCTTTCCCTACTGACGAAGACGAAGACAAAGACGAAGACAAAGACTCAGACTCAGACTCGACTTTTTTGTTGGAATTCACATTCGGTTCATCATTTGTGGATGTCATTGATTTCAACGTTCGAAGAACCTAATAAATTGTGTGTGTATTGATTCAATATAGGCTTTTATTTTTACTATTGTGATCAATGAATTGATAGATTATATAGGAAATGAGGAGATGTGAATTCCTCCTTTTCGAATCTATCTTTTTCATTGCCGAAATTTGAGGCAATACAATTGGCGAAATATATTCTTTCCTAGCACGCAATTGGATTGTTCACAATGTTAAAGTTAATTCTTTCTGTTACCCAATTATTCCCGCTATATTCATTTCCCTAATTTTCTTTTCACTGTATCAATTATATCAGTTCAAAAAGGAATCCATAAAAAAATAGATTCCTTCATTTATGGAGAAAAAAATATTTTCTCCGATTTTAATTCTATTGTTATTACTGAAGTATAGAAACAGAAATGTGATTTTTTTTTTTTTTCATTCAGCCAATTCTTCCCACCTTAATTAACCCGCCAAATTTATTTACCTTTTCACGATAGCAAGTATATGAATATCAATTCAAAAGGGAATAACATCTTAGCTATAAAAACTACACTTTTTAATTTAAGAAAAAAATATATGTTAAAGAATTGCTTATCATATATCATATATATCCCTTCTGTTATTAGTGAATCAATACCAAAAATTGAAAAAGAGTATATGCCAGTTTGATATCAATTAGTACTAATAGACAATAGTAATATAAAGGGCAAATTACCAAAACCCCCTGAGGTAAGCCTAAATAACGAAAATCCCCCCCATGTTCTCGTAATTACGAAAACCCCCCTTGACTAACGGTTGACCGAATTCTTTTAACCGAAAACGTGAAATGTCTATTATATCCTTCTGTTAAATATGTAAAAGATAAAGGGCAATACCAAAACCCCTCGAGGTAAGCCTAAATAACGAAAATCCCCCTGACATCCCTTTCAGTTGATGATTTATTGCTTTTATAAATTTATTTATTACTTTGTAATTTGTATTGATAATTTGATATTATAATTTTTTATTTTTTTTATTTATATATTTTAATTGATTTTATTTATCCAGAGGAGTATTCATACGGATTTATGCTTTTAGCTTGAATGATGCATGGTTGTATTTCTCGAATTGTAAAATATTTAATTTTATATATAAATAATAATTAAATTTGGAAATCTCATTCATTGATTTTTTTTAATCCAATAAAAATACATTGTACATTCATAATGATTGATTATATTTGGGTTTAATTTAAGAAAAATAAGTATTTTGCAGACACTTATATATTTTTTATTTATATATTTTAATTGATTTTATTTATCCAGAGGAGTATTCATACGGATTTATGCTTTTAGCTTGAATGATGCATGGTTGTATTTCTCGAATTGTAAAATATTTAATTTTATATATAAAAAATAATTAAATTTTGAAATCTCATTCATTGATTTTTTTTAATCCAATAAAAATACATTGTACATTCATAATGATTGATTATATTTGGGTTTAATTTAAAAAAAAATAAGTATTTTGTACATTCATAATGACCCCTCATTAAATAATATGCTTACAATTACCCCCCTAAGGGTAATTTCGTGTACAAGGGCAAAATTGGTATTATTGGAGAAATATTCGGGAGAATCAAAAAGATTCTATCGAGTCTAACACCGTTAGAGCGATTTGTAAGACGTCTGCATACCTCAGGGGGGTTTTCGTAATTACGAGAACATGGGGGGGATTTTCGTTATTTAGGCTTACCTCAGGAGGGTTTTGGTAATTTGCCCTAATATAAATGTTAAGATCTAGTCCTAATCGGTTAGGTTAGATCTCAATTACAGCTAATAATACCCCATTTTGATTTATCCCCAAGAACCTGTGATTCAACTCTATTGGAGAATCATTCATAAAAAAAAAACTGTATTCGATAATCAATTAAAAGATCTACAACACTTGTTTTTTTATGGTAAAGTTAACATTGGAAAAAAGAAAAAAGGTAGGGGTATTTTATTATTCTTATTCAACTTTAATTTACAAATATAAAATCAAATTTCCTATAAAATTACATATAATTTTATAATCACATAATTTCATTAAATGGAGCTAATTGCACATAACCCCCTATGTAATCTCATCTCAAATGGCCAAAAAGGCTATCGTATTAAAAACATTAGCAAGAACCCCCTTATGTTATCTTCTACCAAGCACACTGCCCCTTATTTCATTTTTTGTTATTGACTTAAATAAAATGACATAATTACCATTTTTTTCGTTTAGTATGGTATTAAGTTTATTGTCCTGGTTTACACAAATAACCGACAGTTCAAGATGAAATAATTCACCGATTGGCTAAGTGAATCCGATAAGCTTTAACTAGGGATGATTTAAGATGAAATATTTCATCTATCCCGATGATGTACTGTTCACTAAGAAATTTTGACAAATAGATTTTATGCGATAAGATTGGAAGAACAATTTTATTCATGTGGAAGATTGTTGGAACTTTTATGATTTCCAATAATTAATATTGAGTAATATTAATTAAATTATGTAAAGATTAATTTTATTTATTAACTTGATCATAAACATGAAGTAAAGTCAATGATTATTGTCTTGATTAAATGGTTAAAGTTCAAAAGATGATCGAATGATATGACTAGTTTGAGTTTCGGTGTCTACAAATATTACTTTTGGGGACATTTAGTAGTTAGTCAAATTATTTGACCCAAAATCCAAATAATAAATATTTCGCCCAAACCAAATTAATTAATTAGCTCATGACCAATTAATTTTTACTACGTTTTGAACTCCGTGAAAAGAACTGACACAACTTTCTGCTTCTTCTTCTAACCATTGCAACCCTCTATGAATGGATCTCTACCGCCTATAAATAAAGGCATAATCTGGCCAATGCTGTATGGAACTTAATCGGCAATCAAGAGATAATTCTTCATATTCTTCTTTTTCGTCGTCAAAGTTTCGCTCGTTGTTCAAGTTCGTTGTGGGTTGAATATTCGTGCAAATATTTGACTACCGTTCGTTGTACCTTGGGAGACTACCGGGAAGAGACTGTGCACCGTTGACAGCCCGAAAATATTTTCTTAAGGGAATTGCTTTGGCAAGCCTCGATCGTTCTTTTACAATTCCTCTTTTTGACAAACAAGTATTTTTCGTTTACACAGATTGTTATTAATTACACCAACAATCTTAAAACAATATATTTATTTTTATTTTAATAACCTACGTAGAAAAATTATTTGGTTATGTCATGAAGAGTTTGCGTTTTTGTGTTACAATACGCAACTGTAATAACTTGAAATCATAGTTTCTATTGAAGCTAGTTTAATGGTACTATATATTATATGCAATTGAAAAATCTGCGTTTTAACTTTTCTGTGTTAAATTTTTAAATCAATTATGTGATAAGTAATTGTATTTTGATGGTTCATCGTAAACTGTGTAGATGAATTCTATATGTGAACTATTATTTAAACTCGATTGTTAAAATATTGATGCTTACATATTTCCATCAGATCTTCTGCATGGAGAACAAAAATCATTAATTGAATGTGTTGTTTGGAAACATGTACATGTTATGTTAGTGTTCACATCAATTTGGATTATTTTAGTGACATCTATACATAAAAAGTTTTTTTTAGAATAATTTGTCTTCAATATTCTGTGATAAATTATTTTGGTTTGTGAGTTTAAAATTCTTTATGAATTTGAAAATTGTATAGATGGCTTCAATCAATGATACCACCCTTAAGGTTGTCGGTGCAACCGAAAAACCAAACAAGTTTACGGGCACGGACTTTGCTACTTGGAAGAACAAAATGTTCTTTTACCTTACTATCATGAATTTTGCTAAGTTTCTCAATGAGGAGGCACCTAAGGCGAAAGGAGAAACTTCCGAAAATAACAAGGAAGTCTTCCTAGCCATTGATGCGTGGTGTCACTATGTTTTTCTATGCTGTAACTACATCTTAAATTGCTTGGACGAACCGTTGTACAAAGTTTATAGTCCTATAAAGAATGTTAAACTTTTGTGGGATAGTTTGTCCAAGAAATACAAGTCGGAAGATGTGGGCTATAGGAAGTTTTTAGGGGACAAATTTCAATTTTATCGAATGGTCGATAGCAAAACTGTGAGTGAGCAAGTGAACGAACTCCAACTCATGATCTATGATATTCTCGCCGAGGGTCATGAGGTGAATGAATCCTATCAAATTGCTGCCATAATTGGAAAGCTTCCACCGAGTTGGATGGAGTTTAAACGCTACCTAAGGCACAAGAAATCGGTTGCCAAATGGACGATTAAGGAACTCATAGCAAGGCTCAAGACCGAGGAGGATAATAAAATTACCGACAAGGGTGGTCAATTCGTGGCTAAGGCACACCTAGTGGAGAGCTCGAAGCAGAGCAACAAGTTAAAGGGTCTTACATTCAACAAACGACCAAATAACAAGAAACACAAGAGGTTCGCGGGGGCGTGCTTCGTTTGTGGAAAGAATGGAGACCTTGCGAAGGATTGCCGCCACCGGAAAGAAAATAATAAAAATGAAGCTAACATCATCGTAGACTTAGCCGCTTCCGATAAAGGCAACATGCACTTTTCAGCAGTTGTAACAGAGGCCTACCTATTGAGCGATACTCGAGGATGGAGGGTAGACACTGGAGCTACACGTCACATTTGCTATGACAAGAGCATGTTCTCCTCCTACAAAAAGTTGGAACAAGAATGAAAGCTCTTCATGGGAAATGATGCTTATTCGGTGGTTGAAGGACAAGGACAAGGACAAGTGGTCCTAAAATTCACTTCTGGGAAAGATGTTACGTTGAACGATGTGCTACATGTTCCGGATATTATGAATAATTTAATTAGTGGTTCTATCCTAACCAAGAAATGTTTCAAGTTGGCTTTTGAGTCAGACAAATTTGTGCTAACCAAAGGAGGGTTTTACGTAGGAAATGGATACCTATGTCACGATCTCTTTAAAGCGAACGTAGCCGTTATCGGCAAGAACTAAGTTATTATATAATATTAGTAATATTTAGTGTATTTTCTTTTGTGATATGATTTGTAAGAACTTATTATATTTATAAAATGTCTTTATATGTTAGGGTATATAAAATAAAGAATTTTATTCCAAAAGGTTTTGACGAGTAATGTTTTCATTAAAATTGCCTTATATTTTTGTAAGTCTACTTATTGATTTAAACTATGAGTTGAATTTAGGCAGAATCAATTATTTGTTTATACTTTAAATAAGCATTCATGTGAGTGGTGTTTGATTTCTCTGTTTTCAAAACTTTTGTAAGTTAGCTCTTGGGGGAAAAGAAGAAAAAAAAAAGCAAATGTGTATTCGTGAAATACAAAATAAGAAGATAAAAAACTTCTTAAATTCGATAGAGTGGCTAATATGAGTAACTTGTTTGTGGGCAAGGAAAAATCATTGCACCCTATAAACATCGAATTAGGTAGTCATATAGAAAAATCAGGATTTAAAGACACGATTAAACTTGAGTTTATCGAACAACTTTAAATATCTCATAATGTGGGGTATTTGACTACAAGTTAAATATGTTCGTATATGTCCTTGAGGGATATAGCGAGGCAATATAATTAGATATTCGATTTAAAAAACAATCAATTAACAATTGCTCTCATACTTTACTAAAAATCCTCAATGTAGCGTTATCGATATTTACGAAAAACACGAAAATGTGTTAGACACTAATATAGTAATATAATTATGTTATACAACAACATTATAGTTAATATTATTGTGTTTGCCAGGGAAAAAATGTCAAGAAAAAATTCAAAAAAAAAAAAAGTCAACCTGATTGTTCACGGCGGTGGCGGGAATTTTGTTTTGAAAAAATAATTCATATAAGAGAAGGTCAACGTTGTTGATTAGCGGCAGCGGCAGTGATAGGATAATAAGTTCAGAAAAAATAAATTAAAAGAAAAAAATAAATAAATAGCCAGAAACTGACGGTCAAAATTGGTTAATTGAGTTAAATTAGAGTTTAAAAGATGCATGTGAAATATATTAGAGTTTAAGAGGGTATTTTTATTTTTTATAGACAATTTGCGTCTTGTCTCTCCTTTTATATAAAGATGTTTTTTTTGGTAGACCTAGTTGCCCCTTACATTAATAGTTACAAGTATTTTACCTCGTGTGTTGCACGAGCGGATATTGAAAAAAATATAAGAAAAGAAAAATTAGAAATTTTTTTTTTGACAGAAAAAAAAAAAAAAAAAAAAAAAAAAAAAAAAAATCTTCAATAATTGCAATCATAATCTATATATCTATTTTAACAATAAAGTTTAATGTACATACGTGTGCTATAAAAAATGAGAGAAAAATTAGTGTTGGAAGAGAAAAAAAAAGAAAAAAAATAATTAAAAATAAAAAACAAACGTGAAAAAAAAATTTCAAAGTTGATCGTGTTTAGTGGAGAAGGGGAAAAAGAAGAAAAAGAGAAAAACAAAGTAATTAAAAAAACGTGCCTAGTAAAAAAAAGAGAGAAAATTTAGTGCTGGAAGAGAAAAAAAAAAGGAAGAAAAAAAGAAAAAAAAGAAAATATTTAAAAATAAAAAATGTGAAAAAAAAAAAAATTAATCGTGTTTATTGGGCAAGGGAGAAAAGGAGGAAGAAGAAGAAGAAGAAAAAAAAATTAAAGAAAATTGAAACGCCTTCTATAAAAAGGAAGAAAAAACAAATAATTTTGAATGGGCTATAAAAAAAGAGAAAAATAAAGAAAACAAATATTTCACAAAAATATTTGTAAGAAAAAACTTTTAGGATTTCGGGCAAACCTTTCTTTTATATATAAATATTATATTATTTACTAGTGTTTCACCCACCCGTGCAATCCACGGGGACCTTTCAAAATTTCAAAATTGGGGAAATATGCAATACCCTCCTCAAATGGAAAATAGTTTGAACCAAATGGAATTAACTTTTAAAGAGTTTTGCCTACACCCAAGTTTCATTCTTAATCAGTGAGACCCCGCTGACCAGACATGATAAGACTAAAGTGCTCCTATGTGGTTAAGTTTTTAACGTGATACAATTCTCTCTCTCTCTCTCTCTCTCTCTCTCTCTCTCTCTCTCTCTCTCTCTCTCTCTCTCTCTCTCTCTCTCTCTCTCTCTCTCTCTCTCTCTCTCTCTCTCTCAATTTATTTTCTTCTTTTTTTTTTCTTCTTCTTCTTTTTGCAGATGTGTAACCGCCGGCGCTCTCCTTCATCCTTTTCACACCACCGCCGTAGTCCGTTCGCCGCTTTTCGTTGGATGCGTGATTTCTACATAGATATTCCCCTTTTTCGTTATCTCTTTTGGTATCCCAGGTTTTTTTTTTCCGGCCACCACCACCACCATAACTGCTCTCTTTCATTCACCGTCGTTGTAGTCGACTCCGCCTCCCTCCCCTTCGTTATTTTCGATTTTTTTTGTTTTTTTTTCTCTCAGATCTGAAGCAGCAGCATCAACGTGACTATAGTCTGGTTCGAATATGACTATTGTTGATTCACTCGATTAGTGATTTATTAATTTCTCGTGTACGTTGTCTCTCTCGATTTCTCTCTCTTTACACCACCATCGTCTCCACATAGATTTGTACACCACCACCGCTCGTTGCCGCCGTCTCCTCCTCCCTTTCCACGTAAGGCTCTTTCTCTCTTTTTCGTTATCTTTCTCGATTTCTCATTTTTTTTCTTCTTCAGATTTGTCCACCACCATCCCCGCCCCTCTCACTCTCTTTCCTTCACCACCGCCACCACCGACGTTGTCGTCGACTCCCCCTCCCTCTCTTTCGTTATTTTTTTATCTTTATTTATGTATTTTTCGATTTCTCTTTTTTTTTTTTTTTCAGATATGAAAATACAGTTTCAATTCAGTGATGAAAAATTTGAATACATATTTTCCTCAATTGAGAAAAACGGGCCGGGCAAAGTGTTCAATCGTTTGAAACTTGTGTCGAACAGATGAAGGGAGTCGAACTTGGGCTCCTGCTGATGTTGCGAGGAATATTAACATTGTATGGCAAGACGGTTTGCTATCCGAGTTTCTCAAAATTTGTGAATATAAAATTAAATATTTGCAGGCGCTTAGACTTCAATTTTAGGTCAAGTGAATTGAAGAGTCGGTTTCAAGTGAGAACTTAATTAATTTTTCCTGTTATGATGCACAATTTTGTTAGTTTCGTGTTTGTTTATTTCCTTCTTTTCATTTAGGTTTATTTCGATTCATGTAGCACCCCCCTTCTAGTCGGGCGATAAATCGAACCGGTTATCGGATATTTATACATGTAGCGGAAGCAAAGGATCTCTTTGTAATTTTTGAAAACTTTGAAATGGGACCAAAATGCAATTATTAAAATTTTGTATTTATTTTTTGAAATCTTTCTTAGGTTACTTTTAACCGAATAAAGGTTTCGTTTGGAAACAAGTTTCGAGAGGAGGTTTTTCGTTCGAGTGCTACACTATCAACTATCGATTTTGGTTCGAAAAGAAATCAGAGTTGGAAAGGGTATTTTGGTGAATAATTCGAAAATTACTAGTTGAGGCGTGAAAAATAACGAAATTACCAAACGGACTATTTTATGATAGGAATTAAGTACGATTAATACCGGAAATGAGTTCGAAAGGTACGAAAAGGAAAATATTTCGGTTTAATACTACATCACCAAAAGAAAATAACCAAAAGACTTTAGCATCGTTCATAGGCCCTCGTACAACTTCCAAAAATCCGGGCAAGACCTCAATCCGCTACTCGATCCATCCCGGTTGAGGGTTACTAGCACTACTACTTGCAATTAAAAGGCATCTATATGAGCTATAAAACTCAGTAAGAAATTCGATTAAATATCGAAATTTGAAAAATACGTTATATATAATATAAAATATTATATATCCATTCTTACCCACATTCCAAACAACACCAGACAATCGGTAATTCACGTAATTGACGGAAACACATCATTCGCACATAAACACGTACTTATGCAAAATGACTAAAATGCCCTTTTTGTGAAACTCGTGAAAAAAGATTTTTCATTTTCTCGGATCCGTGAAAGATTAATTTATGTACCTGAATAATAAGCATGTTACGAGCCCGTTTTCACTAAGTGGAATTAAACCACAACATTTCATCCTACTTGGATACCGGCCCTCTATATCCGAGTTGTTTATTACCTGGTATTCCATTAATCTTTCAGTTTAAAAACCGTGAAATGCATCTTTTTCAAAATCATGCTTATGACAATAATATGACCAACACATAACATCTCAAATATCAATCAAGTGCCACAAAATCACACAAATATCACAATTTACCACATATTTATAATTTGGACAAAACCCCCCACATTCACACACATAAACACACACAACCACACACGGCACACACCACATACACCTTCAGCACACACACACACACACACACACACACACACACACATACACACACACACACACACACGTATTCAGCACACACACATGCAACCACGTATTAAAACATCACCATTTAATATTAAAATTATGTTTGTAAAGCAAGCACCTTTTTTCACCTTTCATTTAATGAACTTATTACCACTTTCAGGTAATAATTCTTTCCAATAAATTCCAGCAGTAATAAATACTTCCATGCAGCAATATTAGGGTACAAAATCCCAAATCTCATCACTCATAGTTATTTAATCAAAGATATAAAAGCACAAAACATAATAAATGATATGC